AGGCTCCTGTGTAATCCCTTTCATTGTCTGGAAGCCTTTGGGGCTGTAGGATAGGAGGGGGAAGTTTTAATTACCAAAGATTGTGGAGATAACTTTACCACTGATGCCGATTTTCAGTAAAGAAAGACTTCTCCTTCCTAACCCATGGCTTCCTATGATGAAAAGGATTACATGGAACCTGCGGGAGCTTCACAAAATAAGCAGAAGTGGTTAATTCCTGAAAAATCGCTGCTGCTAATGGCACCATCAGACTTGCACAGCACAAGTTACGCGATAGGATTTCAGTCTCTGTTTTCTACTGGTTCTAGTTCCCTTCAGACGACAGATTTCAGAAGATCTCATTGGGGTATTAAAGTTTAGTATCAAGGTTCTGTTTTGATTCCCATGTGAAATTGGTGGCAAAAGGTGAATTGCATTCTGTTCTCTTGATGCCTTGATGCTCTTTTATTTTCTTTACTGATTTTGGATTGGTTGGTTTGAATTATGTTCTCAGTTTAAGCTTGCTTAAGTCACTGCATAACTTACTACAGCAAAGTGGGACTTCTAAATAATAAGGCATGGCTCACATTACTCAGCATCTGTCTCTTGTGCAGTCAGTTATGCACAAGGCAGCATAACCAGCAGTCCATTAGTTAGTGGCAATTTGCAATTTAACAAATTACACAACTGAAAGCATTTTGACTTATGCATGTGAATATCACCAACAAGGTTCTGAGCATAGGATTTTAAAACTGTTTGCTACGTGTCTGTTTCTCTTGCTCTTTCATGATTTTACTGCTGTTTCTTTTTCTATTCAGAACACAGGTGGGAAGTGTCATATGAGTCCTAAATGAGGAACTGGCATGCCGTGGATGGCTGTTCATAAACAAAACCTTTGATATGCTTCTGTCCAAGTGGCTGAACCAATGAAATGCGGTATGACCTACTTGAAAGTTCACTGAAAACAGTTCCCAAGCAGCTAGGCTAACATTTAAAGGGTCTTTCCATATCAGAGCTTTAAATGTCTATCTAGTGGTGTGGATAAAAGGTCTTTGACATGATGTATACAGTACAACTTAAAGTACAAAAGGTGTTAATTTATCACGGAGACAGAAGTTCCTACCATAAACCAATGCAAACTGCTGATGATGCACTAAATCAAAGTGAGTGATGAACACAAATATAGCAGCAACTGAAGTTCAAAAGGATACAGATCTACATGATCAATGAGCTGTCAAACGGCAAATGAAATGTAATGTAGACAAACTCACAGAAATACACATTGGATTAAGAATTATCCGTCCATGCAAAAAAAAAAAAAGGCTGAAATACGACAGAAATTGCCTAGTTAAACAAAGCCATTCTAAAATTTGAAACTCTGTACAGTACTTGCTGTTCACATTTACAAAAGCATTCTTTTATAACACAGAAAGAAATCTTTTTATACATATAACTATTAAAATAACAATATTTTCAATATTTTAAAATAGATTTATATTCTTTTCTTATTTGAAAACTTTGTGCTGAAGGCCAATGCATATTATTTAAATTGAAAGTCACCAAATTTGTGAGGGCACAAATACGAATAAAACAACTCAAAATGAGGAACCTAGATCTCTCCCGTGCAACATTTCACATGGCACCCACTAGGTTATTATCTCTGGTTTGTATTTCAGAAATCAATAGGATTTACCTTAGTTTTGACAAACAGGTCTACTTTATTTTGGATTAAAACTGAATTTACTACTCCTAGTAACAATTCCCAAATATAGGCAAGTTTCATTGTCCCTAAGAAAGACAGTGCTTAAGATTCAGCTTGTAAGTTTTTGCACACAAGTGCTGGTGAAAAAGTTTTTGTTTTCATTTTTTTTTCCCCTTAATAAAACTTGACTAGGGGAAAAACTATGGATGACAGGTTAGAGAAACAGGAAGAAAGTTCAAGGCAATTCAAAAGCAGTGTGAATCAAAATTCACATAAATTTTGGGGAAGTAAATGGTTCTTTGATATCATTTCTGTCATTGTCACATTAAATACACCTTTAAATACACCATGATATGTTTCTTTAACTTTTGTTTTATATTTTACCTTTCAGTCTATTGTGTTGAAGACAAAATTACCATGTTAAAATATGACCTGATCCCAGATGTAGTTTATTTAAATTTCAGATTGAAAAGCTTACTGAGAACAGATAAGATTGATTGCTCTTTCCATCTTAGCATAATTGTATTTCAGGTGAACATCAATTTACTTTAAAGGACACCTCTAAGTAACAGACTGCATCATACATAATTCATCAATCACAGCTGCCTGTTACATGACTTACTTAAACAGATTTCAATAGAATAAAAAGAGTTCCATTGTTTTTCCAATTTTGGCATCTTTGCGTTTAAATTGTTTTAGAAACATTAATTTACTCAGAATTATCGCTAAAAAGAGCTCATACTTGGCAAAGAGCAAAATAAATGGTTCTGAAATCAAAATGTCTTACTTTTCATCCAGATGTGCTAGTTATTAAAATCACTGTTAAATGCATTTTCAAACATCATTAAGACAACAAAGAAATCATGGTAATTAAGAGTATAAGTAAGCCACACACAATAAAGGAAGGGAAAATTTGTCATAATAGGAGTCTCTAAGATGATACAGATTTTGTTTTGTTGTAAAGGTATGTTCATTTATATTTTTAGAAAGATCAGAATCTACTGTAATTACCCTAAAATTACTTTTTGAAGTGTAGCAAACATTCCCCCCCCCCAAAAAAAACCTTTGAATATTTTGCACCATCATCATCTGTTTATTTTTATATACAAATATACATCTTATACATGGAGAGGGTAAACTACAGGTTTGAGGGTTCTACTTTTATTTTTTAAAAATAGAATCCTGAAGTCCATCAACAGCAGCATAAAGGCAGCTCACATTACAGGCCAAATAACACCTACTGAACCTTATCAGTCATATAACACCTACTGAACCTTATCAGTCATATACTCTGATGCCTTATAAAATAAATATGAACATCTGTGTTATTACAGAGTAGGTGTCCTAGCCACCTAATTTAGACCACTAAGTTGTTATCGTCAAACCAGTTTGGAACCTCAGAGCCTTCATGTAAATCACCTAGAGCACTATCAATACATCCTTATCCCATTCTCTGCCCACCTTTCTGTTTGTATAATTTTTAAATTTTGCCCATCATTTTAAATGATTCATTAAAAAAGTTTATTTTAAAAATATTATTTCCCAACTTCACAATTTTAGCCAATACTTTATTCCCTTATTATCACAATCTAATATGCAGGGTAACTCTAAGCCACTCAGGGAAGAGGGCAAAGAAGGCTTTAGAAAAACTGAAGCATTCCCCACTAGGACAACATGCAGGCTGATGTCAGGTTGCTTAGCATAAGCTAAATTGTTAACATTCACTCAGTTTCTCCCCAGTTAACAAATGGTCCCTGCTATGATTCCTGGGAGTGGGTGCACATACTGGCTTAGTACATATGTACACCACCCCCTAAGCATCACAGTGGGGATACTTTGTTTATCAGGGAGGAATGGTCTGAAAGTTATGTAGCCTACTCTAAGCAACAGGATTTCAGCCACAGATTGCTGGAATGGACAAATACCACAAGAGCCAATCAACTGGAGACATTAGGGCAAAACATATCCTGGTTAAGGTCCTAAGCCTACACATTATCTCAGTATGCCCTCTCCCTAAGGGTCATGAACTACAGTAGACTAAGAACAGATGAAGTAATTTCCATTTGATTGGAAGCAAGAGAAAAAGGAAAATGGAAAATGGAAGTGGGGAGGAGAAAATTCACTTTCTCCAGTCACCTGCATATTATACCCATATACTTTCCCTACATTCACATATTACAAGATTGCTTTTCCCACTGTCAAATACTTAATAATCAGAATCCAATTTACATTCAGGGGTCAATTTAACCACTTCCATTTGCTGGCCACAGTTTCCTTCAAAGCCAAGTGCTACTTGGTTTTGTTTACTTTCCCAGTTTACAAAAGAAAATGTTGGATTGTTTTCCAGTTTCACATTAATGCCAATATGGTTAATTAATTTGGTTTATTAATTAATTTGATTAATTATGATAATAACATATCAAACTTGTACTTGCACATCTATGGGTACTAGCTCTTCAACAAAGTATGGGGGAGGGGAATTGGATTCATTACCAATTCACATCCAAAATCTGGCCAATTATCTGCAACCTCATTTTCCAATCTTTTACTACCTTGTTCATTACACATTACACATTGAAACATCTCCCTGAATTAAGATTAGTTAACACATGCCACACTATCTAGCCCATTCATTATCTTATTTTCCAGGCACACTTGGAAAATAAGATAACGAATGGGCTAGATACACTTCGTGGAGAAAATTATTGACATTTTAAATAATAGTAAACTTTGCACATCTTCTGAAATGTTTATATTTCTTTACTATATCTCCATATTATGTAACATACCTTTACAATAATTTACTTCCACCTGATCTCATCAATATTTCAAAATCTGCTATATCATATTTTTGTTCTTACATAAAAGTGATTTTATCTTCATATGCTTATACATCAGATATTCTTGCACTTTTTCACGAACCTCCCTGTAAGTTGCAATGGAAGTATTACTCAATTCATTCTGGTATTTATTCATTCTTTTCCATTGCTGCTTTTAGACAATACTGAAAGGTCCATCTAAGTTAAACTTTTTGTGTTTTAAGTATAGACATTAAAGCTGAGGGGGAAATGATTTGCAAATTCAAAACTGAAGCAGAATGGATGCAAAAGAGCAGCCTCATGCCACTTTATAAACTCAACACGCCATCTCCATTTTCTAGAGTGACATTATCCTTTACATAATAATCTACTTTTCCTGCTAAAAACTGTCTCAAGCATGGTAGAGCTTTCAAAAAATGACAGAAATGGACAAGATAAAAAGACAGTGGCACAAATATAAACACAGGTACACACACACACAAGCCACGTTTTCTACATACCTGTAGACCCATCTGAAACACTGAGTGACCCATAAAATTAGCCAGCATTCGAATTAAGGCTGCACCCTGCAAACACAATTCACAAAAGAAAATGTTGGATTGTTTTCCAAATAGTTTCACATTAATGCTAATATGGCATGCATTTCATCCATTTGTTCTTTTCCAGATTATTATCATTAATAATCACACATAAAGAGAAAAAAATGAAAATACTTTTCATTCATCTTATATACCATACAAATCGTAAAACTTAGTCATTGCACACACAAAAAGGAGGAAAATGATACTACAATGATTTTAGGAGTTCACAAAACAGTTATCTGGTAGTGCTGAAACACAGCACATACAGGTGAATATTACAAAATGCAGTAACATCCTACCGAAGCCCACAATTTTCCTCAACTAGCAGTACCACGGTTGCTCATCTCAAGAAAATCATATATAGCATATTTGATTAAATAAAAAGAAAAGGAAAAAATGAGGAGAATACATCACAAATGCAAAAAAAGTGACATGGTACCACATTTTTCTGGACTAAGGAAATACCACTGGGTTGAAGTCTGGTCACAGTGGGGGGTTGCCCAATCATTTTTTTAAACAAGAAGACACACTGTTTACACATGGCCATGGGACACTAAACTAAGATCTACCATTGTGTGTTCAATGGGAGGGAAAATAAATTTGTCGGTTTCAAGTCTGATATACTTTTATGCATGTTCAAGTGGCATCTGTAGTCCCCAGAGCATCCTTTTTATTAAAAAAAAAACCATAGAGCACCATAAGCAGCCAAACTAAGGCTGTAGTATGGAGATGACATTTAAAGTAGGGTTCCCTCCTTGCTCATTGAGAGAGAGATCTGCAACAGAACTTGGCAATGACACATGAGTAGAGATGGGGACGACTCACCATTTTGGTGAGTCATCCCACTTTGTGAGTCGTTAAAAGTTTCATGGGGGCAACTTCAAAGCACAAAGTTGCCCCCATGAAGCAGCGAATAACAAAGTTATTCATCAATTTGTAGGCAGGTATTTTAAAAAACCAGCCCTGCTGCCCCCCACCCCCTCCGTCATCATCTAAGGGAATCCAGGCTGCCCTTTGCAAAGATGGCAGCTACAGTTTCCTTACCCGAAATCAGACCTGGGCAAAGTGCAGCCCTCCAGATGTTGCTGAACTGCAAATCCCAACACTCCTCACTATGAGCTGTGTGGGCTAGGATTGCTGGGAGCTGCAGTTCAGCAACATCTGGAGGGCCACATTTTGCCCAGGTCTGATTTTTAAATGCCATGGTTGTGGAGGCCAGATGGAAACCTTGGCGGCAGCAGTGGCAATTACAGTAAAGGGGTGTTGATGGAGGTGGGAGGGGTTGAGGAAGCAAGAAGAAGGGGTGGGGGTAGGCTGTGGGGGTGGGTGCTGCCTATTTTTTTTAATTATGAAGGATGAATAAAAATGGGAAAATATTCGTTGATCCGTATTCGTTGAGACTTAAAATTTGACGACTACAGATCGAGAACTATTTAACGAATTGGCTATTTTCATCAAAAAAAGAGATCCATTTTTATATTCGTACCCATCTCTACACATGAGCATTGATATCGCTATATTAAATTAATTTCTTTTCTTTTATGGGGACAATGTCAGAATAAGTCTCTTTTAATATTTAATCTTATGAAAATAATGCTCCAAAATGATGTAAGCAATTTTTTTTAAAAAAAAAGTTTTGACATGTCCTCCTCAGAAGGCACAAAGGGAAAACAGCTTATATCTCCTTTTGAAAACTAGGTGAATACTAAGTAACTTAACACAACCTTGGTCCTATAAATGTCTTTGGGCAATAACAGACAAAACTTTATGGCACCTTGAAAACTAACTGCTATGTTTCAATATGAGCTCTTAAGGAAAAGTCCAGTTCTTCAGAAGTCTGAGGAAAGTAGTATTAAAATATAGGAGTTATTTTTTAAGGCACAGCAAGGTTTTTTGTCTTTTTTTATTTTGGTTTTGGTCTGATATGCTAGGACAGATTAACATAGTTACCTCTTCTGAAAATGTAAAACCTTAGTTGGCACAATCAAGACTCTATAAAATCTCAAAACTCCTGGAAGTTGCAGTTCAAGACCATTAAGAACCCCAAATTTGGAAGCACTGCTCTTTAAACAAGCAACTAACCATTTTCTGTTACGTTCCTTCAGAACAGCACTATAAGAATCCTTGACTTAAGTGACAGGCCTGGTGAGAATGTGGTCCAGAGCTTGCCTACTTCTCCTAAGGCAGTTGCTGAAGTCATGCCAACCAATTCTTATTGTATCCATATATTGAGTTTCAGGACTGTTCCACAGCTGAAGGAAAATTGTCTTCAAAGCTATGTTAAGAGGGGCATATAGATAGACATGTACACGCTGCAGAGGGCACATTGCAAACTAAAATTTAATCAACATATTAATAACATTAATTTAATGAGTTTAGTTAACCATTTTTAGCTTTCAATGTTAATAGCAGCAAATTAATTTCCCAATTTCTAATTTTTAAATATAACTAATTAATTTTCAGGCTTCAGGCACAGTTTGACCTAGAAGATCTGGTAGATTAAGCACAAATTCTCATTAGAAAATGAATAAACTGAGACTATTCTACTCTGGCCATTACATGAGAAAGTAAGACTCACTGGAAAAAAGTAACATTAGGAAAAGTAGAAAAGTAACGTTAGAAAAAGAGAAGGGCCATCACCTTTAGTTTACAAGATCTCAGTATCGATGTTAATGATCATATTTTAGAGGTCACTAATACGTAGGTTTACTTCAAGTCAGAAATGTACCAATGGCAGTTAAGAACAATTTTTAAACCTAATGTTCTAAATTGCAGGTTGCAGCATCCTATGATCCCTAGAAAACTCTCCCAGGGACTATTAAGAATTAAAACCTTAATGTCCTACATTACCATAAACATATGAATCCAACCCAACTCCTGCTTTCTCCTGCAGACAACTTTCCAGTTTGCTTTTATTTGGTCACTATTGACATGAACTAACCCAAATCTACTTAGATTAGAGTATTGGCTAAGATGACAGAATGGATCCATCATAAACAGTTTACTTATTTCCCATTCATTTTTAATCTAATTGCAATTTTCACTCAGGTAAGCTAAAACAATAACTTCACAAACAGAAATCACACCTATTACAGGAAAGCAAACAACAACAACAACAACAACCCTGCAGCACTTCACCATAACAAACACAATAATTCAGTTGCGCAAAATTGTGGGAAAACTGAGTAACGAACTTAATAACAAGACAGCTAGGAAGAAGGGACTGAAGCAAGACTTACTGGGTGAAATCCTGTTCAAGCTGGCAAATGTAAAGTGCTGCCCGTGGAATACTGCAAAGCCTTATGCCCAGGCAGCCAGCACTGTGCAGTCAATCACAAGGTTCATACCATGGTTGTGCAACTGATTGTGCAGTTTATAAGAGGACTGTTATGCAAAATGTCTGTGGAAGTACTTTGTGGATATTAGAGTGGTTGCAGGGCCAGACAGACAGGATATTAAAGATAGATAGATAGATAGATAGATCGATAGATAGATAGATAGCTAGATAGATAGATAGATAGACAGCTATATAGACAGACAGACAGACAGACAGACAGACAGACAGACAGACAGACAGACAGACAGACAGACAGACAGACAGATAGATACCACCACACGTCCATGATTTTTTTCCTAGAACTTCCACAGGTTTGCTTTACGCATGCACAGCTGCATAGCAGGATTTCATTCGTTGGGCTGGACCTCTACTCTTCGAAATACTTCTGTCCCGGGCAGAAATACTGTACTTCTGTCCAGGACAGTCGTGGAAGCATCCTTTTCTGTATCTCTACAATCCACCCTGGAGGGACAGAAAACTTTCCAGAACAGGTTTTTGGTGGCACAGTAGGCTTCACAGAGGAGCAACATAGATTAAATGATGTGGATTTGAATGGAAATTGATTTGGACCAGGAAGTATGAACTAACCGATGTTGTTAAGTGCCTAGGCCCATGCTTAGATTGAAATCAAAAGAAATTAGCATGACTCACTAATACTGTTCATTTCAAGTAGGAAGAAATATAACAAACTTAGTCTGATTTTAACCCAACAATGGAATATATTTACTGTATTTTAAATCAGCCTTACATATTTTGTAATATGGGGTGTTGTGCGGATTTCTTGTTGTTTTCATAAAAGGCAAAGCTACAAAATTAGAATGAATCTAAAGATATGAACTCATAAGTCACAAGTGATAAATCATCTGAAATACAGTTCACAAGTGATAATCCATCAACTTACAATGACCCTTCCAAAGATTTTCTAAGTGCAGACTACACAGAAGTGGTTTACCATTCCTTGGCACTTACGTTCTGTCAGCATGACAACACCATCTCCCCTGACACCATCTTCAACCTGCAGTGCTAAATATGGCTCAGAAAGGGACTCAGAAGCATTCACCAAATCTTCGGAACAAACTAATCAAGTATACAGGAAAGAGGATAGCAGTGAGATGGTGAGACTGCCCCCTCTTAATACCAGTGGCATAAACCATTCCAGCAATGGACATACCTTGTTACACACTTGCTGTAGAATATTACATTTTTCACACCTTGTTAACAACAACCAGTGAATTAACTTGGCATAAATTTCAGATTGTTTTGTTGTTGTTTAGTCATTAAGTTGTGTCTGATTCTTTGTGACCACATGGACCAGAGCACACCAGGCCCTCCTGTCCTCCACTGCCTCCCAGAGTTGGGTTAAATTCATGTTGGTCGCTTCAATGACACTGTCCAGCCATCTCATCCTCTGTCATCCCCATCTCCTCTTGCCTTCACACTTTCCCAACATCAAGATCTTTTCCAGGGAGTCTTCTCTTCTCAGGAGATGGCCAAACTATTGGAGCCTCAGCTTCAGGATCTGTCCTTCCAGTGAGCACTCAGGCTTGATTTCCTTCAGAATGGATAGGTTTGATCTCCTTGCAGTCCAGGGGACTCTCAAGAGTCTTCTCCAGCATCACAATTCAAAAGCATCAATTCTTCGGTGATC